TTACTTACTTGATAGAAGCTCATAAAAGTTAAGCTGGCTTTACTTGGTTGGATATGAACTGTTTAGGATTAAATTCGCCATGTTTTTGTTAAATTTACTTTTCGTTTTATGTGTTTTATTCATGGTATATATCTCACTAATGGAGCTAGCTAACAAGCTAACCTTAGCGTGATGTTTTCAGACAGAGCATGCGCAGTGTGTCCCACAGATTAAAGCCGTGTGAAGCCTACTCCACTATATTTCAGGGGTAAATGGTGTACTTTTACTCCACTACATGTTTGTAAAACCTTTAGTTACTTTACAGATCTGGATTAATGATGTGAAATATAATCAACACTTAAATAAGACTAGTTACACCTGGAGTGATTTCACAAGCTACCCTGCATTGTTTTTTTTTCCAATGTAATATTTCTACTTTCACTTAAATATCATATCCAAGTACTTCTTCCACTTATAACATGAATGGTTTACTTTATGTGCTAAATGTGCTAATGTAATCCTTTTGAAGATTCTATAATTAACAGAGGATGTTTGTCGACACAGACGACCGTTTATTTCTGTCTTCTGTCTTAAATGCAGATGTGGAATAAAGAGTAGCTCCGGTGATTCAGACTATAGACATCCGACAGAGGTCACAGATGGAAAGGTAAGATCCAGAGAAACTGAGGGACTGAAAGGTGAGTGGCTGATTTTCGTGGTACTGACTAACCCCTAGATTCCACCGTCTGCGTCGCGTTACGGCCGTGTTACGGCTGCGCCGCGGCGTTCAGACAGATCGCGGCCACTCTAGTCAATGGGTGCTATTCCACCAGACGCGCCGCGTTCCGGCTCAGAAACGTCCCTGAAGCGTCTCGCCACTGGGCTCCGCTCGAAATAGGATTCAAGTCTTATTTTTCGAGGCGTTGCAGAGGCAGCGGGCAGGAAGTGGACCGGTGACAGCATCCGGCCCATCCCCCAAATAAACTAATTTGCAGACCCTATCCCTCCGTAGTCTTTCAAGTTGCAGGAGAAATGCCAGCGTTCTCCTCCGGTTTACAGGCACTGTGTCAATTATATATATAGAATAATTATGATGATGAATGCATTTTTTTACCACTAAAATACAGCAACACATCTTTGATTCATGTCGTTTATAACTGGGATATTACAGTTATTATTAACTTTGTCTGTACAAAGTAGCCTGTCCAGGAAATATGCCCAAATCAACAAAAACTGCGAGCTGGCAGGCAAGACGCTCCGCTCCTGAAATGCTTCTGAAATGCTTCTGAAACGCGCCCGGTAGGGTATGACGCCGGAGGAGGCCGGACCAAAACCGCGGCGCAGCCGTAACGCAACGCAGACGGACCCGGTGGAATCTAGGGGTAAGGCAATGTCAGGAAACTATTCAGAAGGAATTTGTGCGATTCAACCTTAATATAAAATAGATATAAAAGAGTTAATCCACTAAGTCTGTGTTCACCATGTCATTGGCAGATTGAAACTAACATGTTACATTATCACAAGAAGACACAATCAATTATTTTGCCAAATAAACACATGCATATGTCAAAAGAAGGTAAATGTGCAATGTGGTGATTGAACTAGCTACTAATACAAAAAAGGTGAATGGAAGGCCTACTGTTGAGCATAATATTAGGACTGTCTGAGAATTAAGGGTTCAAGCTAAACAAGTATCAGAAGATTAAAATCAGAATAAAAAACCCTTTATTCAACCCACAGCGGTGAAATAACAGCAAAGTGACAGTGCAGATATAAGGCACAAATACAGTAGAGTAATACAGTAGAACAAAGAGGCAAGCACACTATAGTAACATAAGATACTGTTTGATTTATTTTCAATTAAAATGTGCAAAACACTTTTTAAGCGTAACTTTCGTTAGAGAGCTAACAGAATATTTAATGATTTAATTGCTGAATTTTATGAAGTCTGGTGACTTTGTTTACTTCCCTACGACATAGAATTTGTCCAATTTCCTCAAGGACGGACTAACGAGGGAACTGGTAAGTATATTAAGTTAAAGGGGACCTATCATGCAAAATGCACCTTTGGACGTCTTTTATACATGAATGTGTCCCCGGTGTTCCAGGGAACTCACCAAGTGTCAGAAAACACAACCCTCTCTATTTTCCTCCTTCGCCAAATCTCTAAAAAAGGGGCTGAAACGGATCTGAAAAAAACGGATCCAGATTTCAACACTTTCCTACGTCACAAAGACGTGCTCCGCTTATTGGTCAACTCTCCACCTATCAGGGGAATGAGCCACGGCCACGTGCATTGCCAAACCTCTCATTCGCATATAGGCTATCGGCAGGCTAAATCAACTCCAGTCACATCTGTGTTTTTGTCTGCTCTTGCCAGGATGTCTAAGCGAGTTAAACTTTGTGCTGTTGTTGGCTGCAAGACTCGAGAAGGGGGACTGCATGCAATGCCATCAGTGGAAAAAGAAAATAATCTGTGGCTAGACTTCATTTTCAAGGGACATGTGCCAGAAGACCACGGCAGATTTCTGTTTGTGTGTTCCAAACATTTTACCACGGACATGTTTATGAACTTCTCTCAAGTCCAACACGGATATGCCTCCAAGCTAATGCTAAACCCGGGATCAATACCAACCATCCGGGAGCAGGCCAGTGAGGACACATCCAATTTTGAAGCTGTAAGTTTTTATTTAGCGGTGTTTTTCCTGATAAAGCTATCTCTAGCTTGTAGTATGTAGCATGTAGCATGTAGCATGTAGCTTCGCCGTATCAATGTCGCCTCAAACCCAAATAGTAATCGGTTAGGTGTTTATATGTTTTTGTAACATTTTATTTTGTACGCTCCGCAGTCTTTGCTTTGTCTTTTATTTTAGTTATCAGGCATTTGCTAACATGTTCAGACATACTGCCGTAATGGCGATCTGTGTGAAGGCTGTAAAGCCACGCCCTAGCCGATAACACAAGTATTTATTCTCCTATTTATTAGTATTTTGTATCCTCTAAAATCATATTGAGTAAGTTATAATAACAAACGTAATCTTCTGTAGGTAAGTGCCGTTTTTTCCAACGTTATATGTAAAAGCTTTTGTGATTGTAGTCTGTAAGAACGATCAGATCTGTAAGCTAAGCTACGCTACGCTAATGAGACATGCCGTTTTTTGCAGCGTTATATGTAAAAGCTTTTGTATGTTTACTTGTTTACGCACATGAATATAAATGGGGATGTGTTAGGATACAACACTGTGTGTATGTATGTGAGGAGGGACACACACCATGAGTAAAACAGAACTAAAGCCCCGTTGGTCTGTTGTTGTTGACGAGGCCTTACCTAGCAACAGGCTAATTAGTGGCTAGCACTCATTACAGTCAGTCTACTGAGCTCAGCCCCTCTCCAACACATCATCTGTATTGAGTCAGAAACACAGCATGCACGTTACGGTTGAAAACTAACTCAGATTGGAAAAGGCTAAGCAAAGAGCTTTGCTAAATAGAGAGTTTTAGCCCCATCTTTTGGGATTTCAGACGATATTTATCCAAATAGTATTTTCTCATCCTGAATACTAAATTGAGATGATTTTGTTTTCTTCTTTATAGGCCAGCACCTCACATGCTACCAGCAGATTACCTGTGATGACAGATTCTGCATGTCAGACTGACCCACCCAAGTACCGTACTGTTCGTACACAGCTATCAGCTACAGAGGACTCTTGGTTCACATCGAAGTACAGGTTAGAAGCACGTTTTTCAAATGTTCTTTGGATACATCTTGACATTCTGATGTTGTAGCCTTTAATTTGTGTGCTTCTAATTGTTGTAAAATATTTTTGTTTTATCTTTTGTTTTGTTTTTAATGTCAAATACAATTATGTTACAGCTGTCCAGGCTAAAATTCCCTGCAGAAGCGTTGGTGTTGAAACACTTCCGTTGAAAGTGCCAGTGCCCTTTTTAACATCCACCCCCTTAAAGAGACCACCAAAGAGGCCCCGTGTGGATCTTGAAGAGGAATACGAAGATCCATTTGAGGGAAGCTCTTCTTTGGTGTTTTCCGAAGGCCAGGATGCAACTTATGATCCAGCAGAATCCATAACAAATGCTACAGAAACAACAGCCATGTCGTAAGTTACTGAAATATCACTATGTGTGAGTTTGTCTATGTATTGTATTTTTTGCTGTATATAATTCAAACATTGATAATAGGGAAACACCAAAGATCTCTAAAGCAACAATCTGTGTGATGGATCTTAACTTCTATTTTTTTGTTTTAGTGGTCAAGAACAAAACCCCCCCCAGACGATCAACACATACATCGTGTATGAGACCTGCCTCATGGAGCTTTTTGAATCATGTCCTGTGTGCAAGCGTGTGTGTGATGTACAAACCAGAAGGATCGGTACATTCATATCAGTGCAGCAGCTGTGCCCCCATTGTCAGTTTACAAGAAACTGGAATAGCCAGCCTGTTCTTGGGAGTACTCCAGTTGGAAACCTGCAGCTATCAGTTGCAACATATGTCAACGGAGCATCTTTCTACAAACTTTCAAAGGTAAATTAACTGCAGAAGATTGTTTTGCCAATGTTTGAAAATGCAAATGTTGTTGTTGAATAAGATAGGACAAGGTAACAATAACAAGAGTGAGAAAAGGTGGGAATAGGGTACTGTTAGGTAACGACCCATGCTAATATGTAAAGATCTTTTGGGAGGGTGGTGTGGAGAAAGAGAAGAGATGTGAAAGGGGCACTGTAGAGTAAGCACCCCTAATGACATGTTCAGCTCTTTCCCTGTTTAAAAAAAGGGCAGCTCATTTGCACTTTCCAGGTTCTCCTCATTGACACATCTACAGGTGATCTTTGAGATTAAAATGTATTCTTGCGGTTTTCTTTCAACCATTAGGTCTTCAAAGCCATGAATATGCAGCTATGCAAATACTTGTTATTTGTATGTGTCATAACAGAGCAATGAGGTTGGTGGAAGCTACCACATGGAGTTAGAGGGCCTGAAAAGGAGTCTGGAGTTGTTAAAGGAACGTGGTGTGACTCTGGACTGTATTGTCACAGACAGACATCTGCAAATTCAGAAATTCCTAAGGGAAAGCAGCATCACCCAATTCTTTGATGTGTGGCACATAGAAAAAGGTATTTTTCTTTATATTAATTTCCATGTAAATAAATCGATTGTAAATACAATCATTATTTTATTTAGACACAAACCCGGCTTCCTACAATCACATTAGTATAATAATATTTTGAGTAAACTTGTATGTATATTAACTACATGTTAAATGTATTTATTAGGGATTTCTAAGCAACTGGAGAAGGCTGCAAAAAAGAAGGACTGCGAAAAACTTCGAGGGTGGGTGAAGAGTATAAGAAACCACATATACTGGACTGCAGCAACCTCCACCACCGGGCCTGAGAGAGTGGCCAAATGGACTTCCATCCTGAACCACGTGCAGGATATCCACTCTCATGGTGACCCCCTGTTCCCCAAGTGCCTTCATCCACTGCGCATTGCGCAATACCAATGGATGGCTGCAGGTATGTTGTTCATAAACCATATTACATTACTCCTCTATAAATATTTGTAAGGGACAACTATTGAATACAGGATGTTGTCAGACACAATCTATAAAGCATGACAATTCAAATATGACTTTGATTTTCAAATTCTTAGGAACGCCGGCCTTTCACAAGCTGGAGACAATTCTCTCAACCAAGAGGATTTTGAAAGCTGTGGCCAAACTCAGCCCACACCACCAGACTTAATCTTTGGAGTCATTCCATGCCGTCATCCTGCGCTTTGCTCCAAAGAATGTTGTGTTTCCATTTCTTGGAATGTTGTGCAGGTAAAATAAACCATAGTTACTTACTAATTAGTGACAATTTGTACATCCTTTGCTATTATTTACATTTTTTTTTTTACTCATGGCGGAAATGAAAGACTGTACCTGGCAGCCCTGCACTACAATGAAAACGCTGAGCGTGCACAAGCCACTACATCCACTGTATAAACTGCAGTTCCCAAAGGCCAGGAAGGGAGAATGCAGAGCAAAACCAGTAAAGACTGACCCCACATTCTGTAAGTGTTTAAAATATTTATTATACAACTATTTACAAATATAAAATAAATAAATACAAAATAACTTTCAGTTTTGTACATGCATATACTAATGTAAACCACATTTTTTGTTGTGCTTTTTTTTAACATTGCACAGGCTACGTGGCCAACTTGATGGACCTCATATTCGACCAAGTCTTTGTGGACCCTGCACCATTCACACAGGAGCTTCTGAAGATACCCATCCCAGAGGACCTGTGTTCCCAATATGAGCGACCTGACAGGGAGGAGGTCATCTCCGGGTATGCTACTCGGTTCAATTTGGCTGCTGTCTGAACCCAACATAGATATTTCGCGGATCAGGAAACTCTCTGCGAATCCTGAGGACAACGCAGGCCGGAATCACCACTCTGATCCTGCGTCCAAGGAAGCCCCAGCACCAGCTCACAAAGCTTCTGTAGGCTAGATACCTGTGACGCCTGAAATCATTAAAAAATATATTTAGTGTCATTTATATATAATACAAGTACATTTAGTTTTTTTTTATGGGTTCAAAGAACCGTTCATTTTGACAATAAAGTTCAGAGTTGATATCAAATGTGTCGTGATTATTTATGTTTGGATGGGTAAAGAATATTCAGATTTAAAAAGCATAAGGTTGTGTGTGGACTTTTTTTGTCGTACACTTGGGTGTGTTATGCCATTGCTGTGTAATAATATATAAATATATATAATAGTACATGTACAATGAAAGATTGCATAAAGCCATATACACCAGTATTTATTTCCATGAACAATATTAGCATTCGTTTTACAATTTCAGTCAAAAGAAACAAACCACTCACTGCTCTATTTGCCTCAACTGTAGTCCACCATGTTCAGCTCTGTAAATATTAAATGCATTCTGCAGGGAGAACACATTCAGGCACACAGGCTCCAATCCAGGATGGTCCACCATACAGTTAACAGAGTCTTCAAGTTCCTGCATCCGTCTTGACACCTAGTGTGATAAAGATATATTGAATGACATGTTAAAAATGTATTCTCTAAACAGACAACTTAGTGAAGCTATCAAAAATGTTACCTGTGGTATCTCTATGCAGCACACATTCTCCGGTTCAGAAGGCATCGTGGCGCAATTTGCACATGTACACCTGTAGAAAGAAGTCAATAACTGAGCTTTTAAAAACACATGAAACTACACACATTGCTGACAACTGAGGTGTTGTTGGAGTTATACTTTTTATCACCCTAAGTTATTGAACTTTCCAACGGTTGTTGCACGATGTTGGAAGAAAAGGACTAAACTATTAATAAACGCAATGAGGCCATTGTATATATGCTGAAAATATGAATGTCTCCCTTTATAAATATATATTGCTGTTTTTGCGTTACAAACTATAAGTTACAAACTGTACACATTGCATTCTTGCTAATTAGCCAACATATGAACGGAATAAGTAGCAAGCATCGTAACAGAGTAAAATAAATAGGGACAACAGCTTGTCAACTAACCATTCAGAAACGTCCTGCTGCAACCGAGATCTTTGCACCTCCACCAAAACCTCCGCTGCTTCAGGGTCAGTCTCTGGATCAAATTCATAATATGCTTGAACACATGCATTGCTCTGAGATGACATGTTTATTCCACACGTAATCACAGCAAGCATGGTAACGTGACTCTCACCGGCTCATGCCCCCCTCTTCTGCAGGGGGCGTGGTCAGCTGCTGCTCAGAATTTTCAAAGACAGGCTTGGAATAGAGCGAAAATGAGCGAAACGAGGCATGGCTAAAAAATGATCCGTTTGGTATTTTGAAAAATAAAATGTATAAATATACCTTATATAGGTATGGTCATACACTATATCATTTAAATATAGCATGATAGGTCTCCTTTAAACCTCAAGTAGCTCTGCTAACTTAGCGTTAGCATGTTTTACACTGTAATGCTGACTTTAATGTGTCTTTCTTGTAACCCTGAATCAAATTTAAAGCTAGCAATCGTACAGAGCTGGAAGAAGAACAATAATTAGTGTAAACATACTTGCAAATGTACAAGTTCAATAGTCTTATAGCTTATATAGTTCACATTAGGGGTTTCACCAACTAATCGACTAGTCGACTAGTCGACTACCTTTACCACTAGTCGGCGCTGTAGGCCCTAGTCAACTCGTCGTGAAGAAAATGGAGGTAAACGAGGTGCTGCAAAATGCTTCAAAACACGTCCGACATTCTTATGTATGGCAGTACTTCAACAAAGATGTAACCAACTCCACAGTGAAGTGTCAGTTGTGTACAGCTGTACTGAAGTACAACAAAAATACATCTGCTATGCGCAACCATCTGAAGATGAGACACCCGCTGCCGACAGCTAGCACTAGCAGTAATGCTAGCACCAGTGAGCAACGGACCGGCGTCAGCACAGGACAGAGGCAGACGAGCAGCAACAAAAAACGTGTCTACAGTGATGCGGATGATGAGCTACGGGATTACTGCCAGCGGACACTGCATATCCCCACAATGGATAACCCACTGGAGTGGTGGGCAGAAAGCGTGCACCGCGTCCCCCGTTTAGCCAAGCTTTCGAGGAGCTACCTGGCTATTCCAGCCACCCCGAGTGAGAGGGTTTTTTCCCTGGCAGGCAACGCTGTCACCCGAAAGCAGTCAAGCCTCCTTCCCTCACATGTCGATGCGTTGTTGTTCCTCAATGCAAACCAAAAACCTGGAAAGGTGGATGTTATCGTGGAGGACAGCGAGTAAAGTGTTGCGCAATGCGCTGTTGCGCACTGGATTTACGTGGCATTTCAGTAAACAGAGTTCTTTGCTGTCGATTTTGGTGAGTCCAGTTACTGTTTGTTATTTACTCAGCCATGTAACACAAATTAAAATGCAGTGTTTAATGTAACTATGAGTTCCAATATAAAATACAGTTGTACACCTTTCTGTGTGTCTTTATTATGACGTAACGACTAGTCGACTGCTATTTTGAAAAACGTGTCGACTAGTAAATATTGGTAGTTGTGAAACCCCTAGTTCACATTAGTTCATGTTAATTCGAGTTGTGTTGTGTCTTGAGCTGTGCATGCTTATTATTGACTTAGCTAGCAGCGGTGTGTGAGGTTATCAAAATGTCAGATACATGATTGATAAAACGTACCTCTAGTGAACATATGTTTGGAAATAAACAGATAGTTATTATTATTGGAGAGAAAAAGTGCAGTGAAGCGATTTATATCATTACTTTTTAGTGTTTGTGTATTTTTGTATATTTGTGTAGCTTTACGTTTTGTTTACTGTATCAAGAGCAACACCCGTTTGCCCGTATCGTGTCAACTTATCGAAAATGGTGAAATTTACCATCGAGGCGCACATTGTCACAGCCTATTTGTAATTTCTGCATTTTCCATCTGAATTTACTTTAAAATAAAAACATCTATATTGATTCTGACACTTCTACATCCAACTCACAGATGTAACCTTGCTTTGAGAAAAATAATTATTAATTTACCCCTTTTAGAAGTGAAGATATATCATTTGTTGTGTTAGTGGCATTTTCGAGCCTGAAACCTGAAAAACAGGCTCAGGGCTGAACTGGTTAAGGTAAGATTCAAGCCATTTAAGAATGAAAATGCTGACATGGCCTTTATTACATTAACCTGCTGTGGAAACATGTCTTGATCAAATTGATATGAAACAAATGACATAAATATCGCTCTGACTTTAAGGTCACATCAGGACATTAACCTTAACATTTCTGTGACATAATTATGATTATGATCTGCTCTCTCTTTAAAGCTACTGACCCAGAGTCATATCTTTCGTGACAGCTGGAAGAGAGGGCGGGGCTACAATGATCTGTTTGGGGTTAGGAGCAGGACACTTCAGAGACGTGTTTTTATATATCTGAGACCTGAGATAATATATGCCTACAAATAGTATAATAGGAGCCCTTGAACCCCCAGAGAGTAAAGTAAGCTCTTCTCACCCGGACCAGCAGCTCCACGATCACAGCGTGACCCTCGGACGCCGCCATGTGCAGCGGCGTCCGGTCCACTTTGGTCCGAGCGTCTCTGCTGACGCCGGCTCTCAGAAGAACATCAGCTGTGGAGTAATGGCCGTGCTGAGCAGCCAGGTGGAGAGGAGACGTGCCCAGCTACAGGACGGACACACACACACACACACACTGTAGATTAATACACAGAAACACACACTTTATATCAGTTTGAACGACCCTGTGAACCTGAAGCCAGGAACTTGTATTTGAGTTCTGAGAAAAAGTCAAATTCTGAGATTTACAGATTTATTTAATTTTTTCAAAACATGTAAATTACAGAATTCATATTTTTTTCAGAACTTACAAAAAGAAAATAGGATAATTTTTTTTATTTCATTAGGAGTTCTGAGTTTCAATTCAGATGGAAAATAAGTTCCTCTGTAATTAGAAGACTACTATATTGACCCGGTGTGTTTACTCAAGTAGCTCTGCTAACTTAGCATCAGCATGTTTTACCAACACGTTCTCACTCCCAACCCGACATATTGACGGTTGGTCAGGGCCCCTCCCCGTCACCCTATTACGCACAGGGTACCCCTTGAGAGTCAGTTTTCAACGGGCAAGGCGTCCCATTGACTTGCATAGAGCTCCCTGAACGAAGACTGACAAAGACATTAGAGTCCTGCGGGAGTAAGACTGACCAAGACATTAGAGTCCTGCGGGAGTCACGAGGGAGGCAAAGAGGAGGCAAATCCTACTTTGATTGAGCTAAGTATTGCTGGTGTTTGGTTTTGTTTTAGCCCCTCATGCTATAATCATGTGTATTTTCTCCATTCCTGTTTATGTGTCTTCTCGCAATTATCACTGGCCCCGTGTATCTCCTAATCGATATAACCGGCCTGCTCTCATCTATCCCACGTGCTCCACTGAGATCCAACATCTAG